TGGGCGTGGCAAGAGTCGCATGGCGGGAAACGGGAAAAGGCGGAAAGGGGGGAAGGGGGGTTGGAAAATTGTGGCGACTCATGGCGCAATCGTCAATTATGGCCAACAAGGAAAGCGGAAAAAATATTGTGTTCGATAATCAAACCGAAAATGTGCACAGCTTGAGTCAAAATAACGAAAGGGGGATGGGACCAGAAAAAGAAAACAGGGCAACAAAAGGCGCAGAAAGCGTAGAAAAAAAAACTGTGAGGGGCAGGACTTTTGAGCAGCAGGATATGCGTACATTCGACTTCCCCTTTTAGTGTAACCTTGTAGTGCGCAGTACTCTAATGGTATAGGGGTATATGAAGTTCAAGGAACAGAATAATAAAGTGTCAGTACAAAATAGGGTTTTTGGAAAAATAATACAATATTAAAAAACTATAAGACTAAAGATCTTGGGGAAACTATGTGTAAATTAAAATAATAAAAATCGATAAATTTTATAAATAAAATTTAAAAGGCAATCTTGTCGACCTTTATTAGAAACAAATGGTTTTTGTTAGGACTAAAAAGTTAATGGTACTGCAAACTATGACTTTTGGGTATCCATAAGTCGGTTAACAGGATCCTATCCTTTTTTCGGGCCTTTTCCAATTTTTTGTTGTTGTTTTTTTTTCTTGGCAATTTGCCACCCACCGCACGCGTCGCCGTCGACGTCGCCGTTGACTCAGAAGTTGGCAGGCCCATAATTAAATTACACATATTTTAGTTCGGTGCGTGTGTGCGTGTGTGCATGTGTGCAGGCCTGCTGACTTGCTTTTCCCATTGTGCGTCCTGTTTTGCCGCCCAGGATTTCGGGACCTGCCCCGCCCCACGCCCCCCGCCCATTTGGGCATGACTTAGACATCCGGAGAAACCGAAAACTTGGCCCTTAGTGTGAAATTAAATATTACCCTGCGCAGTGTTTGTAAACGTAAAGTATGTAATCACCGAAATGTTGCTTGAGTTATTTAAGTAATTACAATTTTATTTGAAACAAAAAAAACAATGTTCTGAATTGTAAAGCGCATAAAATTGTGAAATATTTGCGCTTTCAATTGTAAAAGTTTTACTTTGAATTAGTTTCTATCTTGGTAGGAGCATTTAAACATAATTTACAAACGACTCAAATTTTAGGGGATCAAACAATTTTCAAAAATGTACGTTATAGGTAAAGCTTTTCACACAAATTGTATTTTTCGCGTTATGAAATTGTAAATATTACCTACTTATATAAACATGTTCAAAGTTTATTGTACGCCATTTAATAAAAAAATATGTCTTTTAAAGTCTTGAAGCAGGACACTCTACAAGTTTTTAAATTTTGTATTTTTGTTTTAATCTTTGCAGTGATATCTACAGCCCTTTTTGATTAAGGACTAGATTTTTTTAATCAAGATCCGATCCCAATTTCATTTATTCCACGGGTCTCTAGCATATTACAGTAATCTCTCGAAATGAGCTTCCCAATGGGTTAAGGGCAGCTGGCGACTGCGAAATGAGATGAAATCGAATCGCTGACGGCTCACTCGACCGCAGCTGGAAATGAGAGTGGAAATGTGACCTTGAATGCGGCATATACTATATGTATATATATGGTACACATGGACAGGAGCGGCAGGACTCGGATTACGAATGCGCTGCGCGTGACTTCCAGTTAAGTCCTAATTATGTCAGTAACTCATACGAGATTGCAAAGGATTTCTGGGAGGACTTCAATGGGGAGGGGGAACTGCTGCGTGCCCGACACGTTCGCCGCACGGCGGTGACGCAATTTCCAAAAGATTTGCAACCAAAGTACACAAAAGGTGGCTCGATGTCCTTCGGTGCAGGATGTGCTATGTGCTATATGCTATACTATATTCCATCGTACGCCATCGGGGGTTGATGCGCCACCCATCCGAAGCCAACTGAAAATATCTGAAAACAACTGCGGCAGCCGGCTCTCGTCACTCACTCGCTGCCCAAAACAGATTTTGCACTGGGAAAAATTAAAAGCCATTAGTTAATTAGTTAAAAAATTTAATTATTTCCAATATCAACATATAAAGGTATTTCTATATGATTTTAAACAAATCTACATAAAGTGTTATAGTTATTATAAATATATTGCTTAAAGGTTACTTAAAAAAATTGTTTTACAATTACCAATCTTATTTTAAACTTAATATCTTTTGCTAAATGCAGAACAGCATTGAATAATAACCAGTTTAATCATATAATTATTTTCCGATCTTTGTTTTTTAGATAAGAGCTGTACTTTAACTATCATAGAGTTAAATTGTAATAGAATATAATTCATTAAAAAAATCTAAAAAATTTCCCTTTGTGCAGCTATTATAATAATGCGATTCCAGGGGGCGTCGGTGGGCGAACAACCCTCGAATGTGCAGAGCCTTCACTCATTCATTCATCCATTGTGGCATTCAGTCAGTGAGTCAGTGGGAACCCGGCCAGCCAGCCATCCAGCCAGCCAGCCAGCCCACTCACCCAGTTATGAGTGTCCTGTGCCTTTCGTCCTTTCGTCCTGCTTGGCAACAAGCAGAAAAATTCCACTTCGTGGCATAGGTAAAGCGTAGTGGAGTGAAGTGAAATGAAATTGGTGGTGCGTCCGATGCTCTGATCCCGAGATGCATCCCCCAAAATCGACAGTGTTTCAACCCCCGATACGATGATTCACAGCGGTTGCAAATGCCGTGGAAAATTCCACGCGTCCTTTAATAGTACATATGTATTTAATAAGTAACCTTCAAATGCGCACATAGCCATCGAAGCTGTTTAGGCAATTTTAATTTACATATATTAAAGTATTTATATATGTTGCGTGCAGCAATAATTAAAATTCCAGAAAAGTAGTCACAAAAAACGTGACTTCTAATTTACCTCAATTCTTTTCCATACATTTTTTTGTTTTCTATATTACTCACTTCTGTATTTATTTTTACTTTATATGCTAATTGCTTTTACCATTTTAACGATGAAAATGTAAGCCTAGAATTATGTTTCACAAAGGTTTAATTTTTGTAGGCAGTTACTGTTTCTTAAATTAATCTCGGGAATTATTTTATCAATGCAAGTTAAGTTTCAAGGGTCAATACCCATGAGAAAAGCTTTCGAAATCGGAAGCGATGGATCCATTGCAAAAGTGGTTCACCTGCGAGTGTCCTTCGCAACTCAGACTGATTATGAAACCAGGACGGTGGCTCCGTCTCCACTCGAGTGCCTTCTGTTCCCATAATCATCTTAATAATTCCAGAACTCATGTCTTTATTACATTTTCCCACTCCCCTACAGTTTTCCGGCACCGCCACCGCAATATAATTTCCCGGCTCTCGGAGGAATTTTTTAATTTCAAACAGAGGAAAGTATCTTGTGGCGAGGAAGCAGCACAGCTCAAGAATAAAATATAAAAAGTAAGAAGAGAAATTGTATCTTCATGCGTGTGTCCCCAGACGCATTTCCATTTCTTAAGTAGACGTATTTTATCAAAGATTTTCCCTCTCGCCTTCGTCTTCTTGCCACGTAGTAATTTAACCCCTCAGTGCTTTTCGTGAAAAATTTGGCTGTAATAAAGAGGGAAAGCGGGAAAGCGGGAACCCTTCGCCTCCCAGCAGGTGACCCATCAGCCATCGATGGTGAAAGAGCAGCTTAGCTAATTTGCAGGAGGACTCCCAATCAGCCGTAAGGATAAGGACCCGCTGCACGGGGCGGTCCTCAGTAATATCCCCTAATCCTTCCGAGGCAACAAATCAAGACCTGTGTAATCCATTGGGGGTACACCTTGATTGAAGTCTTTTCCTAAAGACCTTTGTAACTGCATGGGATCTCAGCCCTCTTGGTTTCGGTTCATTCGGTTTTTACTCAAGCAAGGAGAACTTTGATTATTAACGCGTATTCTACTTTTTTTCTTTAAACCTTATGAAATGAAGAAAATGGGAACCTTATCCATACAATACATAGAATATACAGAAAAACTATTTAAAGAATACTGCCAAATATATTGGGAATCTATTTTTTTTTGCATTTATACTTGTAGTTATCCTGTATTATTCAAATTTGACAACAAATTTTAGTTATTCTGTTGTTAGTTAGTTTCCTCAATTAATTTCCATTAAGCACGTAATTTACACTTCTGAACTTCCGAACTTAACCATTTCAAACATATTTGCCTTGTCATGCCCATTTGTGTTTTACGTATTTCAGATCTTCTGTCGATATATCATTCCCTCAGTTCTCAAATACTTGTCGTTGCGCTTGGTAAATTTGGGATATTCAAATGTTTTACTTCCCCATATAAAATAATTTCCAACATATTTTCTCTGTCACATTTATTTGTGTCCTAAGTATTATGGACAAAAACGGAACGATCTTCCCCTAAAACCGATTTTCATGCCTGCTGCGCCGGAGATTTAAATTTAGAACGGCCTTCCAACAAAACCAAGAACAGGTTCCATGGTTCACCCACACACATGTTTACAGACCGAACTAATTTTAGGTCCCATCCCATCCCATCCCTTCCGACGGAAACATTTGAAGGTCTCCATGCAGTGCAGCTGCATGAAATCTTTAATTGGATGGCGTTGGGACCGATCGCCTTAATTTAGAGTCTTCGTTGGCAGGGGAATCCGAAAAAGGGTTGAATGCGATCCTGCCACGATTCCCACGCACCTCCAACAGTCGGTGGATAAGGGAAAAATGCAATAATAGAAATGGTTCTGCAAAGAAATATAATTGGACCGAACTCTTTTGTTCCAACAAATACAAATTTTCTTTTATTCATACGGCTCTTGAATTTATTGCGGAAAACTTCACTTTTGTTTAACCACATAAATTACTTTAATTACAATGCAGCTTTAATAAATAGAGAAAATGACTAAAACTAAATCAATCGCATGGCAGAGCACGCTCTAATACTTTTTTTTTGACAGATTTAAATATAAGATTTTTATACTAATCGTCAATCGTATATTTTGAAAACCTTTAGTTTAAAATTGTCAGTTGTCCTTTAAAACAAATTTTCAAAGAAAAAAATGTCTTACTTTTTGTAAATGAAAATAAAAATGTCTTCTCTTCAATTTGGAATGGTTCAAAATAAAATATGCTGATTAAGGTTCTGTAGGGTATTACCAGTTTCGAGCTTTCAAATAGCTCATTAATCTGGTTGGTAAGTGTTCCGGCTAGATTCGCTGAGATAGATCGCTGATCGGTGATAACCCGCTTGGAGAGCAAATTACCGAATGGCCGTCAGTTTTCGACGATCTGCCATCGCGAGAGTGTGTCTATCGATGCATACCTATTCAGTGACTTACGAGGGTTCTCCCAACAACACCCCCGGTTCCTCCTCTTATGTGCCGTGCCTGACCTTTGCCCCCGGTCAGAATGAATCCAATCAAACGGTAGAGCAGCGGATCGGACCGCTTGTCGCCGAACGAACTTCCCGGCGGCGTTTCTTCTACGGAATTGAAGTAACTGCCAACGAAATGGGCGGCGGGCCACCAGTTTGCTTGAACTTCAACCACTTCCTGCCACTTCTGCCGACCTTTGTCAGCGTCGTTTGGCTAAATCAGCGGTACTGGGACGTGGAGCCAATCGGGCAAGTTAGGAGCCTCCAGATGGCCAAGCACCTGGCCACCCACATCCCCGTGCTTCCCCACCTGACGGCTTTTAGATTGTCGGAGCGGCGACTCAATCAGTTCCTGGACCTCAACTTCAGCAGCATTTTGGCCGTTCGAGGCGATCAAGTCCACGAGGACCAGCGGTTCCGGTTAGCTTTGCCAATGATCGAGCACCTACGGCAGCAGCGAGGTGAATTGTTTGCAGATAATTTGAATAACATTCTATTTTTTACCAAAATAAAAAAAAAACCATTAGAAAAATTTGAAAATTAAACAAAATAATTTCAGAAAACATACAAAGCACTTTTTTCAGCAAGAATTGTAGTAATTTTCACATAGAAAAAATTGATTATAATAATCGTTTGTTCTACCAAAAATCCCCGCTTAAATTCCATATTTTTTCCCAAAAAACGAGTTTGTACATATATTATACATATATTTGTTATATAATATTTTCGTTACAGAAAATATTTCAATCTGCGTGGGTGGATACCCAGAGGGATATACCAATTTAGGCGACTTTCCTCCAGCTTTTACTAAAAACATAGCATTTCTGAAAAAAAAGGTGAGTTAACTTTATAGTAAACTTACTTCTTTGGCTTCCATACTATGATAAGTATATTTTATTAAGGTTATAGCCGGAGCAGATTGCATTATTACCCAGATATGTTACGATTCCGAGGCAATTGTGCAATTCATAAAGGATTGCCGGGCTGCTGGGATCACTGTTCCCATTTTAGTGGGACTGACACCGCACGAATCCTTTCGTTCGTACTTGATGATGGAGAATGTAGCCAATGTCCGACTGCCGACCGACTTACGCCGACTTCTTGACGACCAGCGAGGCATTCCGATAAGGGATACGCTGACCGAAGAAGATCCTGTTAAAAAGTTCTTTATAAACCTAACCGTCAAAATCGTTCGCGATGTCCTGGATGCTGATTTGGGCATTTGGGGTTTTCACTTTTTTACTCTCAACCAATTTAAACTTGTTCAGGAAGTGCTTCAAGAACTTCGAAACCTTAATGTGATAGAAGATGGTGACCAGAATGGAAAGCAAGATTGAGCTTAAAAATAAAAAAAAAAAAAAATAAAAAATAAAATAGTATATTGTAAATGGATGTTATTTATTTCCTTGTCAACATTTTGGTCTCAGGTAAGTTACAATATTTAAGTGATCTTAAACAAAAGTCAAAAAATTATACCAAAATTTATTTTGATTCGCATATGGTCCAGAAAGAGGGTGGCAAATACCATGAACCCCACGCGGTTTCCATCTAAAATAAATGTGCGTACAACCCCTTTTCCTTGACCATTGATGGGCTGCAGCCAAACAATTGCTCATGATGTGACTGACATGTCTAATGACCGGGGTTCGAGATCTGCAGCTGGCCAATAGTGGAGTGTGATGAATGGATCTCGGAACCCTTTCCCCTCCTTTGCATATGGAATGCGAAGCTTTGCAGCTCTGGTGCGTCATCAACGTCAGTCAATGTCAAGAGCGGCTCAAATCGCAGGCCAAAATGCGTAGATATTTGTTGATGGTTCTCGACCGGAATAATAGAACTGTTGCGTCATCGCACCTTCCTTCGGGACTTGCCACCAGAGGGTTGTCGCCCTCCTGCCCTCACAAAGACGCACTGAAAGGTCCTTTGACAAAGACGGAATTTGACATTTGTAACTTGCGGTTGATCGGCCATGGAGAAGGGATAAGTGATGGCCACCACACTCGGAGAAAATATGTGCGATTGACATTGGACAATATACCATTAAAATGTTGAGTATTTTTGTATTATTAAATTTATTTTTAAGAGAAAATCAATTTTTATGCTTAGCCTCCTTTTCACGAACTACCTTAAAACATTTCCTAATATATTCCAAAAATACATTTATATTCAAACTGTGAATCAACCCTTAATGGCAGTAACATTTCTCCGAGTGTACTTGGAAGGGGTTGCCGTTCACCACGGGCTCCCAGATGACACAGATGGAATCGGGGCTAAAAGGTTTCGCCGCCACCGGTTCAAATCCAACGCCTGCTTCTTTTTTTTCGCAGCTGTCGCCTGGGCCTGAAAAATGATTTGCGAATGTGAATTTCCTTCCTTTTCTTCCGGCTTTTGGTTGAGTTTGTTGACGCGGAGGATGGGGGATGTTTGTAACTTCGCTTTGCAATTATTTATCGGCAATTAAGCCAAACAAATGACGCCGTTAGAAAGGACAATGTGCACGTTGCGTATACGCCATGTTTGCCAGCCGAAAAAACTCCTGGGGATTTCGGTTCTCTTTTTGATTTAAAACTTAAAATTTAGCAAGTGCTTTAAAGCGCAGTTCAGCAGATTTAATGGATAATATACTTAAAGTAAGATATACATTTTTAAAAGAATACAATAATAATAATAATATTTTTTGATTTTTTTTGAATTGAATGTTATCATATAAACCAACATTGCTAAATTGTATCAAGATAAAATATATACCTTAAAAAAGTTTACCAATATATGTATAGACATATATAAGAACCCGAAAGTCACGTTTGTGCCCCTCTGTCGCAGTCGCAGTCGGCAGAGGCAGTGATCAGCTGGCAGATCACAGCTGAGCTAAACAGCCCTACTCACGAACAAGTTCTCTCTATCTCTCTTATTCTCTTTATAAAATTTAGATTTTATTTAACTCAAGAGCAATCCAGTTGCCGTAAGAGAAAGATGAGTGGAAATGATCGAAGAGATCCCCTGAATTTGAGTAAAAAGAAGCTCAATCGATCAGAAAAGTCACTCAAGAGAAAGCTGGTAGTAATAACGTTCATAAAGCTAAGCAGCTTCATAAATTTGAATAAGATCACTTAAAAGGCATAAATAAATTAAAATGAATATTAAAATGTATATTAATTTATTTTAAGAACCGTGTTGTTTTATTAATGATTCGGGATGTTAGTTTATACGGTCTTAGATTACTCTTTATTGTTTTACCTTCGAATTTTTCTCATAACATTCCTTAAGGATTTATATAAAAATTTGCATTTACTTTTTTATAGGCAATATAGATTTTTGCTAAGTTTGAAAAGACGCCTTTCGTTGCATGGCAGCCATGGTGTTGAACGCTTTTGCAGCAGCAACATCGGCAACATTGCTAATTTGCGACCTGCCCCACCGCAATTTGCATACACCGCGTGCGTGCTCGTGTGCGCACTAAATTGGCACACAGATAGATGCGAGAGATACAGATAGTCGATCGCAGATGCAGATACATTTACATTCGAATTTACAGATACACGAGCCGAACGCATGCAAAAGCGAAATTTGCCAAAGCTCACGCGAAATTGACGGAAAATTGTAACAATTTTTAAATTAAATTACTGCAATAGCAAAATTTGGAAAGTGCCACCTACACGAACACAAAGTAATTATACTCTGAAAACTAAAATTTACATTTGTTGACATGCGGAAATCCACTTTAAAATATAATGTATAGCTACTGATTTTTTGTTTTATGTAAAAGATTATTTTTACTGTGATGATTATAAAAATTTAACTAAAAGACACAAGCCAAAATTTATTAGTATTGCTTTTTTGTTTTTCAAAAAATGAATTTGGCATCTTATAAAGTGGTTACTTAAAAATAATCAGCTGCAAATTAGAAAACATTTACATTTACATTCTTATTTACCGGCACTTGTCCGATCCAAAAATGTGTGGAGATTCTGGGAGGAATATTTACCTTCTGGGGAACGAGCACACTCACACATGTTCCGTTTGGTGGTATAATTTATGGCTAGACTCGAGAGCGATCAAAAATAAAATGATTATTTTCAGAAGGAAGCAACAGAAATAATAAAATCGAAGCGCTACGCAAATTATAAACAAACGTCAACGAAGAGTCAGCTACGAAAACATCAACAAGCTACGTAAGCAGCCACAACTAGATCGAATAATATTCATTAAAATATACCGTGTAATATAGATTTTAGTACCCTTAAAAATTACTACAATTAAAATCAATATAATCTCTAAAACATAGGTAATTTTAAAGGCTCGCACTTTTGTAAAACTTTTAAAGTGATAATTTAGTAAGTTAAAATAAATAAATGGCGACTAAGACCTTTTTTATTTTAATTATAATACAAAAAATATCTTAAGCATGTATTCTGATAAAGAAATAAAATTATTTTTTGTACCACATTGGGAGCAGTAGCCCAATATTCCCCACTTAAATTCTTTTAAGGACCCAGAGACCGATTGCAGTGATGCTTTTTGATCTTTTTTGTTCAGCACGGTGCTGTTGCATTTCTCAGATAGTCAGATACTCGGATACTTGTGTGTGTCCGCTGCTTAGCAGGGCCAGATAGTACTCGAGTGTGTGTGGCCTGTCAGCGGCAGAATTGGTAGAAAATATGCGGCATGCGAAAGACGGCAGCAGAATTGGCAAACATAAACCGCAGGCGGCAGGCCAAATCGGAAGCTGCACTGAAATCGAAATGAGTGAGGAGGAAATCTCGACCGAACTGAGGAATCGTAAATTGAATTTGGCATTCAGATCGTCCATTAGCTTTCCACACAGTCTCTGACGCAATTCGCACCCATATTGCCATATAGCTTTCGCTTTGGGTTAAATCTTGAGATGTCTGTGCGGCAAGTACAGCTGCTTTTACCAAAATATTTTGTTTTTAACGTGGGGAAAACAAATCGAATATTTTTCTATAAACCGAGTAAACAACTTATACATTTACTTTAACCAATATTCGGTAAATTTGTTTACCAAGTCACATATTTTTAATTTAAATATCCAACAATTATTTGGCACACAAAACTACTTGTAAAATACATATTTATAGAAATACTCGTATATAATTTATATGTTTTACAGTGTATACTATAAGTATGGCGTATCAAAACTGACATAGGTTCGGTATTAAAACTGTGCACCTCTTAATGAGTACTAGAAAGGCAAATAATCGGTAGGAGGGGCACAACTTTTTGCCTGCAATTACACGGCTAACAGCTAACTGCAAATGGTGCTAGAAAAAAAATAAAGACAGCAACAAAAGCTAAAATAAAATCGCGCCAGACAAGCTGACGGCAGCGTGTGATTTTATGCCCGCTGCGGTTGAACAACCACGAATGGGCGTAGAAAAGGGGGTTTCAAATAAATAAAGTTTGGCTTGCAGTCATAAAAAATATTCCACTATAAACTACTAATTTCGAATATATTTTGATTTTCTGAAAGCACTCAGATTGGGAATAAGAAGCTACGTCTATGTTTGCAGAAAACTGGGAACTGCAATAAAAAAATCCAAATGACTAATACCCTTCGCAAGCAAAACAACATAAATGCATGTTTATTATCGCTTTTATTGGTAATATTTTTGATTGGAAACTGCATTCAGCAATCTTTAAAGCTACATGCATTTATGCAAAAACAATCTAAAAAAGAATAGAAGTTAACGAAATAAACTGAATTTAAACTCATGGTCTTTAAATTGGAACTTGTAATGTAAAAGGTATTGCTTTCAGTGGAGAGCATTCCACCTTCGGTTCGATAAAAACTAGATAGTCGGCGATCAAATCGAGATCCGTGCAATTGCAGGCCAGATCGTGGCACTTTTCACAACATCGCATGATGATTGATGATTAGTCATCGACCGGTTTCTCGATTGTCGGCCGCCCAGCAACAGCACGCGAGTTGAAGGTTCGACGTGTAATTATCGAAGCCACAACACATCGGCCGGGCCAGAAAGTACTGTTAGTCATAATTGCCCACAGCGATTTTAAATTGAGGACCGGCTGACCACGATCCACAGACAATCGTTAACCACAATTAATTGTTGTTCACATAGTAAATGTCAATAGTGAAATATAATATTTCTTCTTTGTTCTTTTGGCCAAAGATTCAAAGAGGGTGCAGGTGCACAAATATATATATTTGCTAGTTACAATTTAATATACCTACATATATTCATTATTGTTTTAAAAACTTACAACAAATTCTCTTCTAGATATAAAATATTGAAAGTATAGTTAAACCACCTTCGGTTAAACAATTAAATTGTGAGTACGTCACAGTAGTTAGAAGTGACGTCTGAATAATTTCTGTAGATCCTCTCGAGTACGTGGCTCTTTAAGGACTGCTTTTCCTAACGTAGCCGCCAAACTCTGAACCGCACGTGTTTCTGTCCAATATTTTTTTATAAGTTAAGGTTCAACGATGACGACTTTGTGACTATGATTCTGCAGTAAAACCTACGTGACGACTGAATCAACGTGTAGCAGTGATCAATTTACGATTTTTGTATACGTATACCATTAATTATACTACATAATATATTCCTACTGACGCTTTGAAAACCCTATCATTATTTTAACAAATTCTATTGGTAATAATGAAGAATGATAGAAATTATTAAGAAATTCTTTTCTAAAGCAGCTACTATTTATTTTATACTACTTTATATATTTTATTTAGCACTTGACTTTAAAAATGTGTGCACACACAGAGCAAATTTTGTCCCATTGTTGTTGGAAGGCGCTGTCGTTAACCTTGACTGATCCCCAACAAACTTCAAACGTGCTATTCCAGAGAATTGATCAAACAATTCAACAGCTGTTCGCGTGCGCTAATCGAAATTTAACAGCTTGTCAACAATCTGTATTCTATAAGGCCTTTAACCTTTTTTAGGTTGTTGCTTAAATTATCATTGCAGAGCAAATTCGTTTTTAAAGTACTACTCAACCTTGAGCAATCTTCCCTAGAACACAATCTTGAGTCAAACGAAAGGATGAACTAAAGAATAAATCCATTCAAAAATTAATAACACTACAATACAGTGCTTACCAAAAGATACTGTCTACAACTAGTACAACTATTAGAATTACCTTCTTCCCTGTCAAAAAATGTACTAAATAACTTATTTCTAATTTACACATTAAAATCCGCTTAAATTAAGACGTTTATTAAACTAATAAAAATTTGATTTTCCATGGAAAAGATCTAATGAACCAGATATAATCTGGTTTTATGCATTTTGTCAGGCATGACTAAATGAATTTTATTTTTCAAGACGAAAAGTATAACATTTATTGGTAAGAGTTTTTAAAAGTCTCTTGATAAAAACCTTATTTAAAACCAGCATATGAATTCATACTTATAAGAAAGGACAAATTCTCAATGGGACATCATACTGAAAACTCAAAGGACTGAATGACAGAAATGGGCCATTAGCCATCTGCCTTCAGGACAAACAATGGAAAACTGTCTCTTTCTTGGATGAGTTTCGGCTGTCGTTGCTCACTTTCGGAACATTAGCACAAGTGGGGTCCTGAAAATATTTGAAATCGGAACCCAAACTCTAACCGAACCGGAACCTCCTGCTGAAAGGATTGAGTAAGACAATGGATGAGTTTTCCGGAATCATCGGGCAGCTGATTTTTGCGCACGTGACTGAAATAACATTGAATATGAATAAGTTGGCATGGAAAGGGAATGTGCCTGTTAACAGCTGGATTTTCGATGATCACTGGGTTTGTAAGGCAGTTTCCGTTTTCGTCCTGTTTTTAATAGTTTCTTGGTAACTTGTGAAACAGAACTTTTTGATATAGGAAGAACTTACCAAAAATAAATTAGAGCCTGGACCTTTTTTTTAATAAAATCAATTACGTACTTTTATGTAAAAGTATAATTTTGTTATTAAAAATATAAAGTTGATAAAAATTGAATTGAAATTTTTGTTAAGAATATATTAATATTACGATTATTAACTTTTTTCAAAGTGATATCTTTTAATTGTTTTTTTTACGTTTTAGTTACTTCACATATGATTTTACGAAACCTTTTTTTTTTGCTTGTTTTTGAAAATGAGGACTATGTTGTAGTTAAGTTTGAATGGGTACAATGTAATACTCTTCTATATGAAAAAATGGAATCTTATCTGATCTTAATGTATTTACGAACTTGTATATGAAAAAAAGTATAGTGATCAATCGCGGCGAATCCTTTGCAGTTTGCAGGTTCGCTCCCAGATGACGTGATTGATGTGCTCACCCAGACGATAGTAGACGAAGCCGAGGACCATGACCAAGATGAAGAAACCGACCCGCAGGAACCAGGGGATGCCTCCCAGGAAGGGGTACACCCAGATCCCGGTGACCCACCAAACGAAGTGGATCCACGCCAGGTAGCCCACCATGAAGAGACCCAATCCGATGAATCCCTTCATCCTGCTCGGATATCTGTGGTGGGTGATGGCCAGCTCGAGGAGGGCGTAAACCACGACGAAGGTGTGCATGGCGTGGTTCAGCCAGCCGGGATACACCAGATCCAGCACCACTGGGTATATAGACTCCCGATCGATGGCGAAGAGGGTCCAAAAGGTGAGGCTAACTGTGAGCGATAGGGGAACCACAAAGCTGGCCATCATGTAATCGCGCAGGGTGCGCAGCGATGACAGGCGAACGAGGTCATAGGTCAGCGCCAGGAAGTAGTAGACGAACTGGATGATGCCGCCCAGGAAGGTCATGTACTTGAACTTGCCCCCGATCGGCGGCTCCAGGCGGAGGACCACCGCCAGCTGGGGCAGCTGGGCGAACCAGTAGTCGAAGTAGATGGCGTAGCCCAGGTGAAGCGAGGCGGTCAGGTGCAGCAGCAGGCGCGCCTTTCTCGCGCTCACCGGCCAGTTGCTCCGCTCCATTTCCGGGTGGATACTGAGCCCTCCTGCCTCCAGTTTCAGACCGTGCTAATCGGGTCCCCAATCGATCCGTTCTACGATACGAAACCATGGCTGAAACGGTTCCATTCATCATGGTACCAGGCAGTATAACCAAAGCTACAAGTTTTTTAGAATACAAAACTCTGAAATCTAGTGCTGAAAATGTTCGGAAAAAATCTTAAGTCAGATATTAAACCATATGCTGAATTTGAACAGCATTAAGAATAGGCAAAAAATAAATAAGCATATGTATAACATTCTTTAAGTAAAAATAAAATGCAAATAAGTTTTCAGACTAACCATTAGCTAACCATATTCCAACATAACAATACATTTAATTAAAAAGCTTAATGAAAAAAAAAAAAAAGACAATTAATTGTAAAAATATACAATTGTTAATTTTTTATTCATGGAAGTTAATACAATTGATTTACAAAATTATTCCAAACTGCAGTAACTCCAGCTTGCAGATGGTTTTCAATTTTGTAGCCAAACTCCATTTACCAACTTCTCTGTTAGTTAAATTATTGATCCACTGCAAATAGTAGTGTATATTGAATTGGGGAGGTTGCTGCGAATAAACAGGGGTGCGACCTTGGGCACAGCTGATTCGAATGGACCGAGCTTCTCCAATTTCGAAACCAGATGTTGAAATTGGAAAGGAAAGGTCCGCCGACCGCAGGCAATCAAATGGATGTGTGCTCCGTAAATATTTGTTTGTTTCCTTTGTCGGCAGTGCAGATCTCAGCGATAATTAGTCAGGCCCATCGCCACCATATGTCCGAGGGAGAACCTTCGTGTTTGGCCAAATTACCTTTGCTTATTTCAATTCAGCCATCTGACGGGCAATCGATACCCACTTCAAAATGTTAATTAAGGAAGAGGTGAAAATCTTTATTAATATAAATAAAATGTAATTTATTATTGGTATTAGTTATATATTCCAAATCAATGTTTGTTCTTTCTTACTTTAAAAAAGAATAGTTTTAATATTGGTTAGTAAAATAAATAAGGAAATTGTATTTCCTCAAACTAGTCATTTCCGGTTTTAAAAATATTCAGCACACTTATTGACAAAATCTCAGACTAAAGTAAGTCGACATATGTTTGATTAGTTGGTCTTTGCTTTATGCGTTTGAATCCAAATGTTAAATAGTAGATTGTTGCTATTTATAAAATTAATTTAAGCGTCTGTGAAGGGTGATAACCAATCTGAGTTAAAAACGAAAGGAGTCGCGAAAATTAAATGCCATGACGCAGGTTCGATGGCTGGATGTCTGCGAGCCATTTATAAGATCGATGTATGCCCATTTAATTATGATCGCCACAGCTCAGACTAATTGGAGCAATGTTGTTAATTTTTAAAAGCCGCCGTCGGACACGTTTCGCTACGGTCATTGCGAAAGAGATATTCAAATAAAGGTAGACGACTCTGACCGATATTTTCGCACTTGTAATGGGGTGTACAATATTTGACAGTCAAACATTTTAATCTCTGTGGGGCAAGGGGTTCTGCTGGAGGTGGGTTGAGTGGAATTACAATGCGGAAAACCTCTTGAGCTTTGGTGAAGAGCAGATTAAACTGCGTAAGAGAGTCTATGTATGAGTCAAATAAGCTTCACTCAAGAGAGCGATGGGTAAAAGGGGTTTATTTTCACACATTTCGCACTCTCCTCGAGTCGTTTATTCGAGTTGAGCTAAATATTTTGGGTGCGTTTGCTACCAAGCTCAAGTTTTAGCTTGAGGGATAAAATCTCAGAACCATGTAAGAAAAATTTTTACACTATAATCAGTTTTTCTTTTGTATAAAAATCATCTTGGCTCAGAAATTACACCTATAGCAGGAAAATATACACAATCAAAGTCATACATAATGCAACCCGCTTAAATATTTTAAAAATAAATCTTTTTATTAATTCCAGCATTTCTTTTCAACCAGAACTTATCTATATCAGGGCTAAATGACAAAACAATTTTATTGTAATTCTATTTCACATAGAAATTTGTAAGGTTAATACAATTGTAAATTATTTGAGAAGACCATTGAACTATGAAGAAATTTAAGAATTCTCTACCATTCTAGAGCTAAAATTTAAAGCTTAAAATAAATTACTAAAGAAGTTATAAGGTAAAGGGTTACAAAAGTCGCAGGAAATTTTCGCATAATTAATGCTCAAATCATCTTGAATAAAAGCGTTGCGTGCAAACACCCCAGCGAAATGGCCGTATCTATTAAAATTGTCAAAACCACCCAAAAACTGGCGCATTATATATGTATACATAGCTCACTACCTTTGAGATTCAAATTCTAGGAATAAATTTCGCCCAACCCCTTTTTGTTGCTAAGAATTTTCTCTAATGACTTAAACGCGGTAACCACTAAAACATTTACAGCGCATACGGTCCTGTTGTTCACTTTTCACCACATCTCCGCCGGAGCAAAGGTAAAAACCACGACGCCCCATAACATCCCCAACCCAATTTCCATTCCATTCCCCCCGGCACTTAAAGGTAAAGAGTCGCATTTTTGCGCAAATTTTCCCCGAAACCGCAAGTAGAAAACTCATTAAGCGCAAAGCGTTTGGTGGCAAAATAGGCTGGGAAATTGGAGGGCTGGTGTGCCATTGGAAGCGGGGGGAAACTTTGCCTGATCTACTTGTATTGCCATTAATTTGAACTTTTCGAGGTATGGTTTTTAAAATCAAAGTTGGAAGTGAAGTGGTTTCCTAGTTTTGAAGACTTTTCCTAACTACATAAATTACACAGAAATATAGGACCTATTTTATTAAACTAATATTATCTGCACATTAAAGAATCGATATCGAATATACACTATTTTTTTTATTTTATTAAATTTAAATGTATCTTTATTTGTAGATTCCATCTGAACGTTCGTTGTCCCACATTTTTTGTATCGACTGAACTCGATTTATTTTGTGTGTGTATTTTGCAAATTTGTATCTTTTAAGAGTGCTTACGGTAATATTTGGATTGCGTGAACCTGTGTTTGCTTTTCAGTTGTTTGAGGTTGGTTTTTGATCGGGAAGGGGAATGGTTTTTCCGACATGGGACCTGCGGACTACATAGACACGTGCGTTTGCCAAATAAATCCGCCGTAATCCCCTTTTTCTTGTTTCTTTATTTTTCCAAGCGAGTTGGACTTATCCTTTTTTAGCATTCGAGTTCGCATACTTAAATTTCGGTCTGAAATATTTGAATTTGGTTATTTTTTCTCCCTTTGCACATGTCGCCTTATTTCGGAGTCAGGACATCACTTTGTAGTCACACACATGCAAATTTTGCGCATACATAAAATTACGCATAAATTCAAAATATTCAGGAGCCTTTGATTTGATCTTGTTATTACCTAACTATTGATTTTAAAATTCCAGAAATAATTGTTAAGCTCAGACATAAATGAAGACACGATTTAGCAAACGAAATTGACATTTAACTTTATTATCAACTAGTTTTGGCATTGAGAGCCATCGTCTCCCAAGGAGCTTTCCAACATCTCTCAAGGACCAAGAGGCGGCTGCAGGATGCAGTCCGCAAAGGTCAGCCCAAGGACAAACATCTAGCGAGATGCACAAAAATCCAGCTTTCCTATTAAAATCGATATTTAGTGCCACAAGCAGTGATGCCAAAAATGAAAAATAAACATGGCAAAAAAAAAACACAAGAAAAATTGAATATTATAAAAACAAAGTTTCTTTTATGAATGACATTAATTTCTGCTGTTATCATAGCATAGGAATTTTAATATATCTTGATTTCAATTTTTCACTAGCTACTTTCTATAGTTTTTCAAGTTTCCTATTAGCTTTTAGAAGTGACAACACTGGACCAAATAACGCGACTGGGGCGTGGTAAGAGTATTTGCATTAAATTATGCGGCGAACTGCGGAAATGTTTGGCATTAAACGCAGAAGGGCTGGAGAATCGAGGGCAGATGAAGGAAAAATCCGAGATGAAGGCAGCACCGCGCACCGTTAAGTGCGGCGGAAGCAATTTCACTCTTCAGCAAAGGGAAAACCAAAAAGGGAAATACAAGTAAAGCAGCCACGACATCGCTGAAACAAAACAAAAATGTAATAGAAATCCTTCAAACATCTGCGAACCGCTCACTTCACTTTGCTGTACGAACACCCCCACAAAAAACCCAGCATCCTTTGGTCCTGTATTTGAATACACACACACAACACACACACACACATACGCACATACAAAGGTGAGCACGTGTGTGTGCTCGCATTTGTAATTGTTTCCTTTTTTGCTTTACGAGTTTTTCATGTATCGCACAATGTGTCACCGTCTCATCCTAAAACTCAGCCAACAATTCACTTATAAAAATACAGCTTTAAAATATTTAAAAAGAATTTTAGATATTTTTGGAGATACAATACTTTTCCTAGGTGTTCTAAAGAATGTTTAACTTTCTTAGTGTAAATGTATATATATAAAATAGTTAAAGGGCAAAATAATTTATTAAACTAAAAATTTGCACTTAATAAATAATTTTTTTAGGTGTACAAACATCTGGCAACAGCCGCCAGCCACTGCAATTTAATCGCCGTCATTAAGGCGGCAGGTTGGTCGCAATTTTCGTATTCATTCCATTTTATACCACCGTTTTCGAAATCCCTAAGTACAGCCTTAAATACTTGGCATTCCTACTGAAAAGTTAGAAACAAATAGGTATTTATGGAAATTAAAAACTAAATTTATTTCTTTTAAGATTTTTTAAAACGTTTTTTATACAAAAAACTAAGACCTGTCTTATAAATATTTTTAAAATATTTTGGGATAAATTTAAGATTATTATTTTGTTTGCAGAGCTCTAAACTCTTTAAGGAAATAATCTTAGACTCCTTTTCTTGTATGGAATTAATGTAAGTACTGAATTTTGGAAAGCTAACAACACTGCGAGAACAAATGCGACCTTCTGGGGTCGCTGTCAAAATAATTATGTTCATTTGTATGGCCAAGCTGTTCGTCATCTCCGGCGGCCATTACACCCTTTCCCAGTTGCCGCCGGGCAGAAATACTCAGTGGATGGCCAACAGCCCGGGATCCCACTTTCCGTCCGCTTAGTTCCGGGTGGCATTAAGGCAAATCGACATTTTTCGCCGGGAGTAAACTTTATGGGGTCATCGGTAGATATTGTCCTATCGTCCCATCAGGACACTTGGGTCCTGGTCGCTGGCAGGTTTCAAGAGAGCTTCGCCCAGCGGCGACAGCATTTTTCTTTTCGCTTATTAACATAATGACCAAAAGGAGATGAAAGGGACATAAGGCCAAATGGCCAGCACAGGCAGTCGAGCGAAAGCTAGGAAAAGTTGTCAAATAAACCAAGGAAAAGCGAGTGCTGCTCGGGCAATATTTCTACTCATTATGCTAATAAGTTCGCACGAAACCAGCGCTGGAAAAACGAAATTTTTCAGAGGCAGTGGACACGAATTTCAATAAATCTGGGCGCAAAATCTTTGTTTTAAGAACTCAAAGTGGTGCTTTCTTACACCAAAAAAAGGAAAGGGTGAGGAAAAAGCATTGAAGATAAATGCTTAGGGAATTTTAAATTATGCAATCATTAAAATTGTTGATATCGTTTAGAGAGCATGAAAACTTCGTAATTTGGAAAGTGGCTGTTTTATTCCTATTTTCCTATTTACATCTGGCTGTCGAATGTAGCAGCTGATCTTTGGCTTTCGATCTGTGTTCCACATGTTTTTACTTAGAGCACAATTATTTCCACATCCCTCTTGGATACAGCAGCTGGAAACACATTTGCATTTGATACTGGGTTGGAGTCTAAAATGTTTTTTGTTTATTACATAGGGGCTCTAAAAGATAAATTTCATTAAAAGTTGTGACTTAAAGTGGAAGGGAATGAATTAAGAACAAGTCTGCACCCGGCTTATAAAATATAAAATATAATTTATAGAATTAGTAACTTAGTAACTATTTTTTCTATTTTGTAGTTACTTTAAGGGAGTACGTTTATTTTTAATAATTAGTTAAATTTTTGTTTTAATTTTCTGAGTGCACTCTGTATACTAGAAAACACATTAAAAATGTTTTATTTATTGCGTTCAACGTGATTTCAGCTATACATTCTCAGCTTTCTCCCTATCGAATAATTTTGGAAAACAACAAGTGTTTTGAGGGGCCTTATCTCCCCCAAGTACAATTAATGCCTCCCCAAAGACCCCAATTTTTCGGTTCCGTATGCAAAATGGTACGCACTTGACTGCATCATTATACAAGATCATTGTTCGCATCCCATCGAGTGATATTCATTACTGAAACACATAGAGTCGATTCACACGAGTATAGAATGCTCATTGAATCACATCTGAAAATGTTTAAATTAATTAGATTTTACATTAATCTTGTTACATTTAAAGAGTCATATCTTCGCACTTATAGAGAAATCATAAAAGCAGTAAATTTATTAAAACATTCTATATCTTTACAGAAGTTTGTAATGTTGTTTTTTGCCTTGTTGTTAATAAAGTTAATTAATGTAATTTTTTTTGTACGACACTCACTGCTCTTTATACCCCAAGCCATATTATATTATGAATACATTTTAATTATTAAATGCAAAGACACTTCAGTCTTTTAGTTCCATTTTACTTCGCAAAAGCAAAAAACGCCAAAACTAGCAAATCAAAGCAAATGAACAGCAGTCGTAGGTGCTTTTTTCTGCGGGCTGGGATTAACTTGCCATGAATTTCAATTAGGCAAAAGGGTTTCAAATAGGCCAGTGGTTGAAGGGCTCTGGCTCCGGCTCTGGCTCTGGAAACTCATTACGCAGGCAGGCAAACAGCGGATTCTATGGGGTTTCTTCCCAGCGAGCCGAGGAGAATTCGCTTTGCTTTGTGGGACAAAGAGCAGAAAGAACAAACAAGTCCAGCGGTACTACTTGAAATAATAAACCATGGCAGATAAAGCCATCGGGATCGGGGATCGGATGGAGAGGGGTGGTAAGGGGGAGGTGAGAGGGGAGAGGCGACACGGAGAGGAACGTAAAATAGGAGGCGCAACAAAAACAATAACCAAATACTTTAAGCCCAAGAACAACCAAACAGGGCATCCAGTTTTTCTAGCCCAACCTTTTTTTTTCGTTTCTTTTTTTTTTTTTTGATTTTTTTTTTGTTTTTCTATGTTGTTTTTTAAATCAAAACAAACGAGCGTGGAATGAAGAAATCCAAGCTAAACGTAAACAACGCAACGGAGGGGCGCTAAAAAAATATAAAATAAATGGGAGTGACTGGGGAGTTCGGGCGGAATTGAGGAATTGAGTGTGTGTAACTCCAGTAGTGGGCCTCGCATAAAACAACCTTCGACAACCAGTTTGGCCAGTTTCGGCCTCTTCGGCCTCTTTGGCCTCTTCGCTTGCAATTTTCAGCTCTTTGCCTCGTTTTGTTTTTTTTTTTATTTTTTTGGCTCAGCCACAATGGCCAACAGCCCAACAGCAGATCTGCATCTCTTAGCCAAATGTCCCATAAAAACATGGGCTTGCTGCTCTTCAGAAACAGCTTTGGATAATTGAAGTCCGTGGCTTTAAGCCATAAAAACTATTAATTGCTGTTCAAAACTGTTGAAACGACTGCAATTTATTTTCTTTAACCATTGATTATTTAGCAAAAACGTGAGAACATTCAAACAAGAAGTATTTTTTAAAGAAACTCGTTTGTGATTCTTTGATATTGTTAATATTTTTATTTTAATTTATTTTTAATATGCCAAGAGATTTCTATAAATTTAAACTTAATAGATTTTAAATAGGTTTTCTTAACTCAGGTTTCACACATTAAAAATAAAAATTTTAAACTATTGATATTTCTCGGGCAAGAAAAAACGTTTAAGTAATTGAAATGAAGATAGTTTTATAAAGCAAAAGATTTTCCATAAGAAGAAAAATACAATGACTTGCTAGTTATAGAAAAGTACGCTAGCGTCACGATTTCTGATTGTGAATAAAACAGTTTTAAACTGCTTAATCCTGGAAAAGACTTAAAAAAAGTTCCATAGAAAATATAAAAAGAGTTTTTTAAGGTAAAATGTATTTATTTAATATAATCTCTATAAAGTAATGAAACGTGATTTGAAGCTCGCCCAGTATCTTCAATATCATCAACTACACTCTCGTAATTTTTGGCTAAGCCACAATATATCGCTGTCTAACGCCAATTGAGATTGGAAATTTTCCATAAGGTTTACGCAGACCGGCAACGTTTCACTGGCAAAAACTTCTCCGCTTGCCAACAATTATAACAGCTGACTCAGCAGCTGACTGACGAACCAGACCAGGCCAAAGCCAAAGCCAAAAGCCCATCTTCAACCTCAACTTCAAGTTGGAGCGGGGCTGTCAAAATCATATGGCAAGACCCGAACCCATCTGAATGTCTCTTTATCTGTTCGCCTTTGGAGTTGGCACTTTGGCTTCTTTAAAGCTATAAAATCCAGTTAAATTTTATTTATTTTTTTTTTTAAATTTGTTTTTATTATAAATATATTTTTATATAATTTTATTTCAATGCTTTCCTTTCCTTTTTCCTAACAAAACCATTTTCAAAGTTGCTGAATCATTTATTGAATACGCCATACATAAAATCTTGAGAGAGTTGTTTTGCAATTATAAGAATTAAATGTTGGATTAATTGGAAATTAAAAAAAAACTAAAATTTTTAAGGCAATCTATACGAATTTCTTAGATTTTGGCAGCACTGGGCTGCGGTAAAAGTCGGTTTCTAGGGCCAACTTACTATACTCTTACCCTGCCCAAAAGCTTTCCCCCGTGTCATGTCATGTAGAGAGCATAATGGCACCCAAACTGCGATTGGGGGGAGGCGGGGGGTGGGGCATCGAGTGAACGGGGGCTGGAGTAATTACCGGTGAACCCAAGCGAGCCAAGCTCCAGAGCCCCAGAGCTCCAAGTGATCTCCGCCTGACAGCTGACGCTCGTACCCAGAGCGTTGACTGATTTATGAAGACACTTTTGCAAGTCGCCCAACTTGATTTTCATAAACCGTTACGGCACTGAGTTTTTACATGTCTGTCGAGCCAACTTGTCCAAACCACCGAATTTGGGAATGCCCTCTCCTCAAAAAAGTCAATGGTAATCAATCAAACAACCTTAAAAAAATTCAAAATATTTATAGCAGTACATAAGCATTAATCAAAACCAACGTCAAATAATATGTATTATTAATACTTCAAAAAATATAAAAATAATCTTAATATTCTGAAAGATTGTTTATTAAGGAATTGGGAATCCTATGTTTACTACTTTTATATTTAAGCTTTATATAAAAAATATTTGCCAGCCCTTCTTAGTCAACATTTATGTTATATCTATAGAAAGGGTATAAAAAAGCGACTAAATTGCCAGGCGGCTCCCCTTAATTTTTGTCTATTGCCGGTATACGAATACTTACTGAAGTGTCTCGTACGTTTTGAGCCATGTTTGTTGCCAGGCACCAAAATAGCTGGCTGGCTGTAAGTCTTTCTGTCCCCAGCTTTGTCTTGTCTTGTCTTGGGCCGTCTTGTCTTCTCGTTTTTGGCCCGGTCTAGTCGGTCTGCTTGGCTTACTTTGGCTCGGTTCAGCTGGGTTGGGTTTGGTTTTGTTGGTTTGGTTTGCTTTGGCTTGGTTTGGCAACAGTGATCGCCAGATCTTCCAGCTGCTTTCGACCGAACTGCGATGGCCCAGTTGCCGGCAGTAGTTTCAGTGCGAGGTTAATCGCCGGCGTAATGGTAATGATCGTGTTTGCTGCTCCAAATCAGCTGATTGCCGATGTCCGATAATGATGAGTCAGCGCTTTCAATCCACTGACTTTGCTTTCAAAATGCCTTCTAAGAGTGGTTCTTAGACCTGCGATTGATGGTGGAAATTGCTGTCTACCAAAATCGCATTTATCAAAGGTGCTTTGGATTACTCTGAGCCGAACAAATAAAAGAAAATGTAGTTCTTGGAACAGCTTAGTATTTGCAAAAAAGAAACCAGTTGCATTTATAATATTTAAAATTTTGCAATGAAATTAAAAATAATATTAAGGGAAATTCATAAGATCTCTTAAATATTTTAAAGTGTAAAGGGGCTTTGACTGATCGATCAAAACTTATGGAAAAAACATTATTCATATACATGTGAGCTAAATTCAAATAGTTCCACAAGTAGTGCAGATCAATCTCATTCGATACCAACTTTGAATATTGTCTTAAATTAATAGAGTGATAACTACACAAGAAAAACTTAATTCGAAATGCCTTTCGTAGGCCTAGGAGATCATCCAAATAACTGGCAGTATCGCCGTCACCGGAACCAATTCTTGGGTCGCCACCATGTCGGTGACTGTGTGGAGGAGCAGGAGGACGTGGATCCTCGACAGAGGGGCATCCTGCAGAGCACCAGCTGCCGGCGTCATCGGGAAAGGCTGCGCTCCTCCAAGCAGTCGGATATGCGGCGAAGTCTCGTCATCATTGCGGGGCTGGTGGTGGTTTGTAGCGCGGTGATCCTTCTTGGAATCGATTTGCCCACAGAGCGGAAGGACATTCCCGAACAGCAGGAGGATGGCCTCTGGTCGGGCGCCTTTAGGCTGCTCGGTTTGGAACAGGACCAGCCAGCAGGATACTCTTTTATGCAACCCAATGTAAGCATTTCAATTATTGAAACAAATTAACAGATTACGTTAGTTACCGAAAAGGTGTGATACAAACAAACAGAAGACTTCCAAGGGTGTTTTCATAAAATTAGAAAAATGTGTTAAATTGAAAATATCAAAAATAATATTAGTAGAATGTAGGGTATAAACAAATTGATCTACAAAATAAATTTAAGTGAGGAATAATTTTGAAAATTGAAGCAATTTAAGTTTAATTATTAAAACAAAAAGCTTTGCTCTTACAATTAACACATTTTTATTTCTATAAATTTTTTATATCAGTTAATTATTGTGCTAAATAGAAGTTTATAACTTATCACGGAATCTCAAAAAATTACTCATACTTTTGTTGACGTTGTCAACAGAGTTACGATTAGGTAAACTTATGCTCATCCTATTTAAAATGACATTTTCATAATTTTACCTCATTGATTATTAACTACAAGTCTTTTGTTAATATAAAAATAATTTCAAATTAAACTTAAACTCCACGCAGGCTGAGTTCTGCAGTCCGCAGGCTCTGGACTTGAGGCGGATCTTTCGGCAGATGAACAAGGTCGTCCTCAATCAGGAGCAGGCGATGGCTCGCCTGGAGCGGGCACTGAGCGGCACGGAACGCTTCCGCTCGGTGGCTCTAATTGGACCGCCGGGAGTGGGGAAAACCCTGGCGGCCAACACCTTGCGAGAGTGTTCTCCCTGGCCGGAAAATGCGCACTCGTACTCCTGGAACACTCGGGTTCAAGATGAAGCGAGAAAATTCCGACTGGTGAGGCAGTACGCCGAAGGGCTTTCGAACTGCGGAGTCAATCTGCTTATTATCGATAATCTGACGCCCTGCGACCACGGATTGGTACCCATCTTTAATAGACTGATTGTGGAGCGCGAAGGCGATCAAAACCGGAATCAAACTGTGCTGGTCGTCTACATTTTCAATCTGGAAACGGAGATGTACTGGGAGCAGTGCGAATTGCTGCAAGAATTGCCAGCGGAGACTGCCATGATTAACTTTCGGTTCTTTAACCGAGATGATCTTCAGGATTGCCTGACCAATGAGTTGTTAAAAGAGCATCGAGCTCTTAGCAGGGAGAAGGAGTCCCAAATACTCGATGAGGCCATGGAGATTGTGCAAGACTCTGGATGCAAAAGCCTGAGAATGCTTCTTTTAAAAAATGGAAACAAACTTTAAAATTTTATATATGTAATAATTTATAAGACCTAACAATGAAATTTACCCAAGCTAAATTAACAGTACTATAATTAATAATAATAATTTTATTCATTTCTTTAAAAATATTCTTAATCTAATCATAATCAACTTTGGACTTGTGTAATAATCGTCAAAATCTTTGGCAGGCTTGCCTACAAATTTTGAATTATGCGTCTCGCTGAAATGCAATGCAGATAATTATTTTACCGTGAGACACACACAAGATGCATAAATAAAAGTACTGCACCCATTTATCAAAACAAAAACTAGAAGAAAAAAATGCAAAGCAAACAAGCACCAAATTGCATTGCTGTAAAGCATGTTTTGTGTTTGCTTTTTTATAGCATTTTTAAACAATTTTTTCTGTTTGGCGAGCAAAACTTCTAGGCCGTCGAACGATGTCGCTGCCTACAAATTGCACGTTTGAGTTCGCTAGGTTTTGCCAACAAGTTTGCTATTAATAAAAACTTACAAATTCAGCAAACGAAAGGTACAACTTTATTTAATATAATAACCAACTTATCAAGTAATAAAAATGTAGTGTACAATATAAATATAAATTAATTATAAAGTAAATGTTATACATTTAAGAAACTTTAATTTTTAGGTAATTTAAAAGTCGGCTATGCCCTTAAAACAACTTGTGATGCAATGCAAAACGCACACGTTTTCGGCGCAGTGCGTTTCGCCTTTGCATCCGAAAGATACTTTGATGCGAGTGCTAAGTGTGAGTGCGGTAGCAAGAGCCAACAACCGCATCGAGGCCAGGGTGCACTGAAATAAAAAGAACATTCAATTACTAAATGGAAAATAAATGTATACAAAACTTTACTAAAATAACAAAGCTTTAATAATTGGTATCTAAAAAAGTATTTTTAAAAGCTATGAATAAAAAACTTCCTTAAATTAAATTGACTTATAAACTGGTAAAGTGTTCTTGAAAAAACAAAATATTTTCCAGAAGGGTTAACTTTGCAGTAATAGTGCAAGTATAGAACATTTTCTCTGAGTGCAGTGCAACGACAAACGAAACACAGCCAGCGGCTTTTGTAGTTCATGAACGGCCAGCGAACTCGGCGTTCAGCGTTATAATCAAATAAGATTCGACTGCTCAACAGTTCGTGGCAATTTGACGGCGGAAAATGGCAGCTAGAGGGGTAGGAAAATCAGGGGAGGCGACTCTGATATTATTTTGTTTTTTTTTCTTTTTGGCGTAGACTATGCATTCGCCTGGTCACGTAAGCAGCCGTTTCAACGGAGCGGTTTAAGTTTGCATTGCAGTTACATAATCCTCCGATTGATTTAGTTTTTGGTTTTGCGGAAGAAAGTAGTCGTGTTTATATTTGGAAACAGCGAAGGACAATGTCAAGAGTTGAGTTTAAGTTGAAAGCTACAAAAAGTGAAAAATATAAGTATTATTATTTGTTTTAGAAGTGATTACAATTATCTAATCAATCGTTCGTATAAAAAATATATTTAAGAGTTGTACACTAGACAAGAAACCTCTATTTTTTATTCAAATTAAATATGTAATACAGACAAATCAAATGTTGTAACAGCTTAGAAATTTTATATATAACCAATTTGGGGTATTCTCTTTTTAATTCCAAAAGTTTTTCCTTTACAGCTGCTTCGGTGGCTTCGGTTGCACAAAAGTTTTAATTGGTAGCAAAAATGACTCTGCATAAATCGGTCAGTGTGGTCGGTTTGAATGCAGATTTAGTAAACATTGTTGATCGATTGTTTTAATAAAGTGAAACCCAATAAGGCAACTTAGGTCACAAATAAGCTAGACAAGAGAAGGAGCTCAAAGTGCTGCAAATGAATTGCAACTCAAATAAATTAAAGAAATGCAACAAGCCGACATTGTTAGCCTTCGACTGCGAGTTTGAGTTGGCTTCGATTGCAGCCAAGTTGCATGAGGAGACAAAATAAATTAAAGAGAAGCCGACGACGCAGACAGAGCCGTCGACTTAGATTGGGATTGGGTCTATTGAATTACAGTCAACGAAATTACTGTATATAGAATTTAATGTAAGAACGTGGCAAATATGAAGTTAAATATAAACTACTGCATTTCTGGTATTATTTCCTTAAAAAAACTTTGAGTTACCTTTTGAACATTTACTGAAAATGAAGAATAATATTCATAATATTAAAAAAATATATGTATCCTTTATTCAGGCATATAGTATTTTATGAGTGTTTGGCAAACAGGACTTGAACGGCGACACCATGCAATGCCAGTCGCCAATTGCGCAGCAAAGACAACTGACCTGGCCAGACGAGACCAAACCTGGCCAAAAAGCAGACAGATAAGTGGAGTAAGAGTGTGGATGGGCCACAATCAGAAGGCAGCAGAGAAAAGTTCTAAACTAGGCTGGGAAAAACCGGAGAAGGGAAAGCTTCGACTCTCTGCATCCGTATCCATGAGATACTCAGGCTATTTAGTCGCACAAAATGTTTCTAATCTGTGCCGCCGTTGACGCTGCCGATAAATACATCCCGTGAGCTGCCTGTTCGCATTCCCATTTTTACACAGAACAAAATTAAACAAAATCCAGCTTGGATTTGAGAGTCATAAAGAATGAAAATAATAAACTAACAGAACACTTATAAAATAGAAAATCTAATTTAAAGCTGCCGAATGAATGATCTCTCTTTTTTTTAATGACTTCAAATAGTATTATAATTGATGACCAATTTAAGTGTTATATTTTTTTCAGTGCATTCCCATTCCCAGTACCATTTCCATTGCCATTCTCATTCTCATCACATCAGAGTACCGTCTTCGTCTCCGTTCGTGTTGGCCAGATTAAATTTCAATTAACACTGTAGATACTCGTACGCGTACACGCACAAATGTGGCAGACAGCAGCCGGAGTATCAGTTTTTCAATTAGATTTCGCATTAATTAAACGAGCACAGCGAAGCAGAAGACGCTCGTTTCTTCTGGCCAGAATTACAATGGCAAAGTGGCAAACTGATGGCATGGGATGAGGTAGCCTGGCATCTGGAATCTAAATTAGTTACATACCTTTTCTACGCTTTTCCTAGCCATCGAAAACAATAAAAGTCTCGCCTATTAATTATATTTTCTTCTTCGCATTTGTATTTTTAATTTAACACTTGCACGCAACAGCACTGCAAAGTGCTAAAAACAAATTTAATTTATTTGCTTTCTTTCTTTTTTGACTTGGGAGATTTCGATCTGTAGCGTTCAGTTCCAGTTTAAGCAACTAAGGACCTAAACCAGAAAGAGGTGGCACAAGTGTAATTTAAGCTTTAACTTCGGGCAAGTTAACAACCCTGATGATTATATGCATTTGTTTATGGCCACAAAGGCACGCACATAGAGCATAAATTATGCACATAGTATACTTATTCACTGCTAACAGTGCTGCTCTATTGTAATGGGTAAAAACTAATAAACTTATTTATAATTATAAATTGTATTAAAAACATTGTTTGAAAAATAAACCAGGCTAGTTTTACAAATTCTGGAAATGAAGTTAATGTAAGTTTTCATCTTTAAAATTGAAGCAGAACATTTATTAATGATTGAAAAATAAAAGGTCTTTTATACCACAAAGAATGACTGAAAATATGGCTGAGAGCAGCTCTGTGAGTCCTGGAAAGTAATATTGGCTGGACGTGAGGGCCAGGATGTCGGTAAAAATCGTTAAATTAACATGACAAATGACAAAGAGCTGATAAGACATCCCTGCATGCATGCACGCCACCCACTCTTTATTTTTATTGTGGGTGCAGCGCAGCGTTGACGTTGAATGGCAGTCAACACAATAATAAATCCGTTAATATAATGGCCAAGGATACTTTGGTAATTGGGCGAGCTTATGCTTAACGGCGCTTTAATTTATGCCGGAGTGCCCGCCGCCGAGCTGTCCGTCCGTCCATCCGACCGCCCATCCGTCCGTCCGTCCGCCGCACAACCGCCGGACCTTCCGCCGGCCATTAACCACTCGGCAAGTACACGGCTCTAGCCATAAAATGTCGCGGTCGCCTCGCCGTCACTTCCCAGCGGGAAAAAACCTGTGGAAAATATGCTATTTTCCTGTGCTTTCTTCATACAAGCGGAATGTGGAAAATCCCCTTTACCCCTTACATTTTTGCCGTCTCTCCTTTCAAAATACACGGGGGTGACACAAAAATGAAGGGGTAAAGGGAAAAATCCAGTGGACCTACAGCTGCTGAATGCAGGACAAAATCCTGTGGATGCTCTGGCTGCTAAAAGCAGGGCAAAATCCAGTGGACCTACGGCTGCTGATTGCAGGGCAAAATCCACTCGTTTTTGTACTGAAAAAACCAGTGGAAATCTGGCTGCTTAACGCAGGACAAAATCCACTGGTTTTTGACCTTCCCGCTTTACAGAATTTCCACAATAAAAAATAATACTTTTTAATTTGGTATATGCATTTATTAATCTATTTACAGTCCAAGGTCCTTTATCATAAATATTGTTGTATGTTATTATTTGCCTTAGTGAACGGTGAACGCAGATCATCTTGATATTGGGGAAGACTGTAATTGTCGTTTCTGAGTGACTCTGAAAATAAAAACCATAATATGTTAATATATTACACATTAATACATATATAAAAAGTAATGGGAAAAATGGAGAAATTTAGAAAAATAAGTAATAAACATAGTAAAAAGCATGGGGACAGGGCTGTTGAAACTTATTAAAAATTTAGTGAGTACTTACAAATTCTTCTGGATTGGCTTCGGCATCGGAGTCCAAATGGCCGAGTTCTTCAAATGACGAAATCGAATTGTCCGCTTGCGCTTGTTCAGATTTGCCGTTAATATTAACACAAGGGCCAGAATCTTTGAAGTCGAATCTATTACAAACTCTAAAAAAAACATTGTTTGTTCTTTTAAAATTGAAAAATAAATTTAAATGAAAAACTTACATACTTACTTGACAAACGCCTCCGGCGGCTAAAATGTAGTTTTTGGAAAAATGCCTATGTTCACCATATCCGTAACGCTGAAATAAGGATATACATACAAACAAAAATATTTATGTTATAACTTACCTTTATCTTGTTTTTTAAGATTAA